TAGCAGTCTGTCAGCCGAATTTATGTTAGGTACTTGTTTAAGTTTGAGTGTGATTTGGTGATGTCTCAATCTTGTCAGTAGATCTGGAGGTTCCGGCATGGGCAGTTCAGGGAGCGGTGTAATGGCTCCATTTGTGAGCAGGTGGTGTAGTTTACATTGTGGCGGCAGTCCCAGGCTAGTCATGGTCCAGCGGTGGCCAGGCCACTAAATACAAGGTTACCCGTGATGGGGTGGAGGGGGGAAGTAGGTGGGGAGAGGTCCGCCCCTACCGATATTTTCTTCCAGATGTGGAGGGTGGTGGCTATTGTGGGGTGGCTTTGGTCTATTGTTGGCTGCCACGGGAGTGTTCGCAGAAGGAGTGTCGTGAAGCTGGCTTCTATGTTTGTCCAGAGTTTATCCGGGGGTGCTGTTGTCCATTCGATCACCTGTAAAAGGTGGATAGCCCGGTGGTATGTGGCTAGGTCAGGGAGCCCAAGGCCACCCTGCAGTTTCAGGATCTCGTATTTCATTCTGGCCCTCCGGTTGTTCCATATGTATGTTGTGAAGGCTCTGCGCACCTGGGCGAAGAATGTCTGGGGGATTGGTATTGGCAGTGTCTTGGGAGCACATTCATTTTGAGAACACTCACCCATCCCGGGCAGGTGATATGAGGCATCGTCCACGTTTTGAGGTTTGCAGTCACCTTCTCCAGTAGGGGAGGGAAGTTGAGTTGGAAGAGGTGCGAAATATCTGAGGTTATCCATACTCCCAAGTACTTGATTGCTTCCTTGCGCCAGCGGAGTGGGAAGCACGTTTTAAGTGAGGCTATCAGTGTGTGGTCACATCCGATGTGGAGGATTTCCAATTTTGTATAGTTGATTTGAAGATTTGTTAGGGCGTTGTACTGTTCGAATTCCTGAATGATGGCCGGGAGACACGTTAGTGGGTTCTGCACTGTGAATAGTAGGTCATCTGCGTATGCTGATATTTTGCTCTCCCCCCATCTGCCGCGTATGCCGTTAATATCTGGCCGTTCCCTTACGACATTGAGAAATGTTTCCAGGCTCAGGACGAACAGCAAGGGTGAGAGGGGTCACCCCTGTCTGGTGCCATTCTGTATCACGAACGGATTAGACAGTGTGTTGTTTACATAGACCCGTGCGGTTGGATTGCTGTATAGAGCTCCGATCCATGTCCGCATGTTTGGTCCTATTCCCACTTGTTTCAGTGTGTCAAACAGGAAAGGCAAATCCACTCTGTCGTATGCCCTCTCTGCATCTGTAGATATCAGAAGCGAAGGCGCCATGGTCTTTCTGGCTGCGTGTATCAGGTTGATCACTTTGATAGTGTTGTTTCGTGCTTCCCTGTTTCTGATAAACCCCACCTGGTCCGGGTGATCTTTACAAGCAGTTTTAGGTCCGCATTCAACAGGGAGATCGGCCTGTAACTGGGACATGCGGTCGGTTCCTTCCCCTCCTTTGGTAATACTACAATGTGTGCTATTAACGTGTTCCGGTCTAGCATGCCTCCGTCGATCAGTTTGTTGAGCATATTAAGTAGGAGTGTGGCCAGGGTCTTAAAGAATGTCTTGTAATATTTGGTGGTAAAGGCGTCCGGTCCTGGGCTTTTCCCATTTTTGGCCAGCTCCAGGGCTGAGGATAGTTCCTCTGCTGTGATCGGTTCTTCCATGGAGTGTGTAGTTTCATTGTCTAGTTTTTGGTGGATGTGGGTGTCTAGGTAAGCCTGTCATCGTAAGGCGTGGTTGCTGGGTTCTATTTCCTCTGAGTTTGTGCCCCGCGGAGAGATATTGTACAGTGATTCATAATAATCACAGAAGCCTTCCGCTATGGACTTTGGCGTGGCATGAGTCGTGCCATTGTGGACAATTCTGTTTATGAAGCTCTTTTGTCTGTTCTTCCTGAGAGCTCTGGCTAGCATTTTGCTGCTTTTGTTGCCATATTCATATTAGTCTTTTGGGCCATGCGAAGTTGGAATGCTATTTTGTGGGGTAAGTGCGAGTTTAGGGCAGCCCGAGCCGTGACCAGTTCTGTATACGCATCCTCGTCCAGTGTTGTTTTGTGTCTTGTTTCCAGTTCGGCGACCTTCTGGAGGAGGTCCATGATAGCCTCGGCGCGTTGTTTCTTGCGCTGCGCCCCATGGCGGATTAAGGTGCCTCGTATTGCGCATTTATGTGCTTCCCAGATGGTCTCTGGGGTGGAATCTCTTAGCGTGTTCGTGAGGAAGAAGTGTTCTAGTTGATCTTCTATTTCTGCTTTGAGCAGTGGGTCTTCCAGTAGCGATTCATTGAGTCTCCAGACCCATTGTTTGTGGACGGGCGTGGGTGACGTGAGCATAATAATGTTCAGGGAGTGATCCAACCAGGTCCTTGGTGTAATCGTGGCCGAGTGTAGGTCGTCGAGGTGGCGGTGGTTAATGAAAAAGTAATCTATATGATAGTAGGATTTGTGGGCCAGGGAGTAGTATGAGTAGTCTTTGTCGGCATGGTGTAGGACCCGCCAGCAGTCGGCCAGTTGAAATTCGTGCAAGTTCTCCCTCATGCCTCGGAGCACGTGTTCCGGGAGGTTTGAGGTGCCCGTAGAAGTGTCCAGTCTCGGGTTCAAGGAGGCATTAAGGTCTCCTCCAAGAATCAGAATGCCTTCGATGAAGGGTTCTAGGGCTGCTAGAATTTTGTTGAGGAAGGGTTTCTGCCCTTTGTTGCGTAGGTAAACGTTCACAAGTGTGAAGTGAGTGTGGTGTATGGTGCCCTTTAGGAAGAGGTATCTTCCCTCTGGGTCTGCTATCTCTGCTTCCTTCCTGAATGGGGTGTCGGAGGAAAAGAGGATTGATGTTCCTTTGGTTTTCGACTCTAGGTTCGTGGCATGAAAGCCCAGTGGGTAGTATTAAGAGGAGAATTGCGGATGGTTGCGCGTCTTGAAGTGTGTTTCTTGAAAAAAGGCAATTGAGATGTGTAGTGCTCTCAGCTCCCGCCAGGCTCTCGCCCTTTTCCGTGGGGAAATTAGCCCTTTCGCATTGATCGAATAGAGTGAGAGGGTGGGTGCCAGCCGTGGCTCTTTTACGGTCCCGGGCATCTCGGGGGAGTGGGGAGAGGCGGTCCACCTAGGGAGCAGGGAGGGAGGAGGAGGGGGGCGGAGGAAGGGGGGAGGGAAAGAGAGGGTGGGGGGAAGACAGAGAAGAGATAATTTCCTCCTATATAGAGGGGGGCGCTATACCCGGGGGAGGTCCCAAGGGCATGCCCGACTGGCACCGCTGCTGGCTTCCAGTCGGGGGCACCCGGGGGAGCGCACCCGGCCGCCGGTATGGTGCTTCACCAACAAGGGTGGTGGTGTGTGGTGGGGGTATAGATAGGATAGTTACTGTAGGCCAGTGGCCTTTTTCTAGTATGTGGTGTGTTGGTACCTGTATCTTGTCCGCCGTTCCTGGGTGGTGGCGTGAGAGAGGGGTTTGCCTCAGGAGCGGAGATCGCCAGGGAGCGTAACCCGGCGTCCTGCTCCTGTTGTATGGCAGTAAACCCGCTGGAGCGTCGGTGGTGTGCCTCTGACCGGTGGGGCTACCGTAGTAGTGGGTCTGGATCAGCACTGCATGGGGTCATCCGAGCCCTGCTGCCAATGAGCAAGTAGATAAACCATTAGGATGGGTAAAACATCAAGGTATAACAAGTATAACATTTCAACATTAGATAACATCCCAGTATGACCAGTGTATGAGCTATAGTAAACAGTTAGTTACCGTCCTCTGAAGCCTCTTCGGTAGGAGACCCTCCCATCCCAGCTCCCAGTCCCCTTATCAAACGCGTGTCAGTATGTGTGTCCGTCGGGTTCTGTCGGGGGTACGGCCGTCGGTCTAGGCAGAAATGGGAGTGTGGGGTGGGGATACAAGGTTCAGAGGGGTCCCCCGGGCTCACCCGGCCGCGCTGTCGTTTCGGTGGCAAGGGGAGTCCAGGGGAGCCAGGGCCAGGTAGGTGGGGCGAGGTGTGGGTGCTTTTCTTTTGCGGTCCTCCTGGTGAATTCTGTGTTCTGTGTGGTCTCCGTCTTCTGAGGTCATATGTTGCGCGACTCTAGTCAGGGTGATTTCATGCAGTGTCCGTCAGTCGTGGTGGGTCCCCGTCTAATGGTTGGAGGGCTATCAGGTGGGGCCGCCGCAGGGGGTAGCGGCACAGTGTAAGCCTTGGGACTCACTAATCTCCCCCTTACAGGTGTCGGGCAGGGGCGCTCCCCTACAGGTGTCGGGCAGGGGCGCTGGCATCCGTAGTCCCTACGTGGCACATTGTATTTCAGTATCCCCCCCTTCCCCCTGCTAGAAGTGTCATGTAGGTCAACTCCCCTGAATCCCGCCCTCCCCATTGCTTGCCCCGAGTGGGGTTTAGGCATTGTGATACAAGCTTACAGAGGTTGGTGCCCGTATGCTCAATCTTCGGCGAGTGGCAATGTGATATAATTAGCAGGGTGGGCTCAGTTTGTACATGGAGCTTTCTCTGCACACAGTGGACTGTGATGCATTGGTGGCCTGCTAGTGGAGGGGGGAAGAGAGAGAGGAGAGAGAATAAATAAATAAATATATAAATATGAAAAAACATATGAAAAAAAAAAGTCTTTGTCTCTGGTATTTTCTGTTAATGCCTGTCTTCTGTTCCCAAGGGCAGGCATTCTTCTGGTCTGTTCTTCTATGCATGAGGTGGTAGCATCGTGGGTATAAGACAGATAACATTTTATGTCATTTTGCAATGGTACTCCGCAGATGTGGCCAAAATAGTAAAAAAACTAAAAATTAGCATTTAGTAGTTATAAAAACAACAACAATCCAAAGTGAGGAAGATAGACAGATCTATAAGATTAGGCAGAAATAGACTATGCAAGTTATAAGAGCTTCCAAATCACACACAGAAGAGAAAATAGCACAGTCAGTAAAAAAAAAGGGGACAAAACATTTTAGATACATAACTGGGAAAAGAAAAGTAAAACAAGGATTAGTTAGATTAAAAACAAAAGAAGGAAGGTATGTAGAAGAGGATAAAGGTCTAGCTGACTACCTCAATTAATATTTTTGTTCAGTATTTACAGATGAAAATGAAGGAAATGGACCTCAGTTAGGAAAAAGGACAAATTAATAATCCCACTGTTGTTACTTGTTACAATATCTCTGGACCCCTTTTTCCTACAGAAAGTGAAATTCTGCATATATTGCTAATGTTACAAAATACCATTTCAGACAAAAGAATCATGTATTTCAGCTAAAACTATTCCTTAAAATGTTCAGCTCACACTTGTGAAGTGATTCTACCTTGATAAAAAAAAAACACACACAAACTCCCCCCTCTCCCACCCCCCCTCCCCCCCACAGGCAGCTAAAAAACCCAGTTAGTGATTAACAAATGTCAAAGAAATATCATGAATATTATTGAATGTGACAGATGAAGACTAGAAGCAAGACAGATTTAAATGGGTCAGATTAAAGAATTACTTTTAAACGATCCTTCTAATATTGCATGAAATAATGGAAAATACAACCAATTTAACTATTGAACCCAATACTTTCCATATTATTTAAAATATTTCTGGTGTTAATATTATTTTAATCACTTTGGAGTACATTTAGAATTTTTAGTTACATATGTACAAGAATTTTTCGGGAAATTTAATTTATCATGCTTATTACCTTTCTCTTCTAACCCATAATTATAAATATAATTTTCCAGTTAGTATATGGGGAACACAATTGTTATTTTTGCTTTGTTTCTTTTACTATGCAAAATTGAGCAAAATGTTCCATTGTGTCTGAAGTTTCCCTTTAAATCAATAGCACATACATAAAATAAAAAAAAGAAACAATTGATATATTTATTGCTTAAAGGGACACTGTAGGCACCCAGACCACTTCAGATCACTGGAGTGGTCTGGGTGCAGTGTCCCAGTCCCCTTAACCTTGCAATTGTAATTATTGCAGCTTTTGATGAACTGCAATAATTACCTTGGGGGGATTAACTCCACCTCTGGTGGCTGTCTACAGACAGCCACTAGAGCAGTGATGGCGAACCTTTTTGAGCCCGAGTGCCCAAACCGCAATACATGCCAACATTTTTTCTCCTTAAAGTGCCAACACGGCAATTAAACCCAAATACTGAGGTTTAAGTTTAGAAAAAAACAACTCGTACTGTTGTCCGAACTAATAACTTTTGTTTTAAAAGAACACAGAGAGTTCAATGATACAAATTTTAAATAATGATATAAATAGATAAAATTAAGCTTATATTTATTAGTATCTCCAACAAATGCAATACATACACACACAGACTGCTGAATACATACACACAGACTGCTGAATACATACACACAGTCTGCTGAATACACACACACAAGACTGCTGAATACAGAGACTGATGAATACACATACAGACAGACTGCTGAGTACACACACACACA